GCGAGTCAAAGTTTTGATGAATCATAAGCAGTTACGAATTATTTACATACGACAGCGTCAGAACTCATTTTTACTTCTCATTTTTTCCTTTTATTTCAAATCTGAAGCATTTTCTAGCTTCGATCAATCGGTTCCCCTTCATTTTCGATCGATGCTCGTCTTTGGTTTCGTGAAAATTGTACAGCTGCGTTCAAAGTAAAATCTATAAATGTCCTTCAAAAGTCAATTGAAAAGTTCTATGATCCCTTATTTCTAAAATAAATGGGTTTAAATAAATCAACTGTGGTTTGACAGCGCAAACTTTTAAAGATATAAATTCGTGTACTACTGGTACTCATTAATATCGATTCCAAAGGAGTTAAGTGTGGTAGTTAATTATGGCAGTGGTTGTGCAAATGAACGATGAGTGGAATTACCGAGAGAGACAAATTCTTCTCTGGGTATTTCAATCGAAAATCTCCAATGGCCCCGTTCTTAAGCCTTTTCCTCTCGCTCGTATATGTAATGCGTATGTTGGTAGTGAGTTTCAGAGAAACCAAATTTGCGAAAGAACCGTCTTGATTTCTTGAGACTATTTATCGATTCGTGACTCTAAATTCTACTCATTTGTGAGGATTTAATCGATGATTAACACTTTTATTTGTCGCAATAATTACGTATGGAATTTTCGTAACTGTGTACTGCAATTACTGATTAAGATTTAAGGATAGTAACTTTGTGCAGTTTAATGGTAAGCAAAGGGTAAAGCTTAGTGTAAGAATTTGCACAAATAAGCCAAAATGTTTCACTGATGGCAATTTTGTTGGAGCTCAGACAATCTTTATCGAAGCGATGTTTTTACGGTAGTGGAAAGAAGTAGAATTTGTAATAATTGGGTGAAAAAAAGAGGCGTGGGGATATATGAATGAGTTTTAAGAACACAGGACAAATTTACAAATCCTTAAAATTCGTAATAAGCACTCACTCATTGTGCATTAAAGAGAAAAAAGTGCTCGACAGATTCCCATCGATGGAATAAAAATCACCAATTTCCGTTTTTGAAAGTGAAAATTATATTTGGCACTAATTAACTCTGAAATTTGGTTTTTTGAAAGCTTCTGAAATGTTTCTGCGTAGCAGTCTCATCAATGATGCAGCCTCCACTCCATTCATGGCTGTTGCATGGGAAACTTTGTTATCAGTTTTACCTATCTTCTTTCGAGCAATCACTACAAGTATTACAACTCTATATCGATCTTTCTCATTTTTTGCCATTGATTAAAATATTACATTTTTTTATTCTTTTAATTTTTAGCTTTGAAGAAAATATCCAATAAACACTGAGGACTCAACAATAAAAGACAAAAATTTACAATAAGCTGTGTCATAAACATCGCGTTGCTAGCTTTAATCAGTTTCAGAAATCCTAGGAAACTGTAATTTGGTGTAAGTTTACTTCCATTCGAAACAGTCTGTATGAATGAAGTTATAAGTAAATTTTCTTTTATTTAATATAAGTATAAAATTATTTTTTTTTCTAGAAAGTTTCTATAAAAAGTGATATCATCAATTAGAAATATGTCTTTACATGATTTCTTCTACTTGATTAACCATGCGAACAAGGGATCTAGGAATCACGCGTTCAAATTCAATTTTGAATATACTTTGAAAATTTTATTTGAATAAGTTTTATCCTCGCATCGGCACAAACTGGGATTTCAACTACAATCAGTTTACAGGAAGCAAAGGTATGATTTTTTTTTATGCTTTCATGACTTGTACCCTTGGTCAGAGGGTTTATAGCACAAACCTTTCTGAGTGTCTCACTTTCTTAATCATTTTATTCATAAGAATTTAACGCGTAGAAATTCAGTAATAATGATAATAGTATAGAAAACAGAAGTATCAATATAGGTCTGATTTTTTTTAAACAGATAATAATTAGCTATTAAGAGGTCTTCTGTTGAAATAAGGAATTTTAAAGCAAACTTAAGATGTTTTCTAAATCACCGTATTTTCCCTTGTGAAAGTGTGTTGCTTCTTGATTTTGGGACCCTAAACTTGTAAAGAATTCTCTGATTAACGGGCTAGTGTTTACTAGCCTGATGAATTACAATTTAGGAAAAAATATATTACCTTTCGTTGTTGAAATCAACGTTTATCAGTATGCAAATCACCGTTATTATCAGAACTATCTCCACTAGCCCCCTCTCAGGCACACAATAGCCGAAAATGCAATTTTCCAAATGCATTCTGTCAATTAGCCTTTATTCTAGACAGTCTAGTTCTAAAAGAATTCGTTTATGATTTCTTATCGTTAGGTTAGAGGTGACTTAGTATCCAATCAGAGGGGAAGCTCCTTTCTTAGGAACTAGAAACGGCATCATTTGAAACTTTCAAATCTCTTTTTTCCCTAAAAGCTTCCAAGCGATACTGAAGTAAAATTTCGTAGGATTGTTTTTCCTATTCGTTACGCAAGAAGATTTCTGCCAGATCCTGATTTATCCGAATTCAGGATGGATGTGTATCGGAAGAAACAATAATCAAGGTACGAAATGAGAGCGTCCTTTTGGAATTATAATAAAAAAAATTCCACTTATTCGTGTCATTTTGGGAAATAAGAATATTCAGAGCAAAACTTGTAACTCTTGGAGAGCTAATGAATGAGTGGATTGAAGAAATTTTTGTGAATCTGAAATGAAATTTCTGACGTTTCGGTTTCTAAAGAAACATGTGAGCTGCATTCCAAGAATTAAAAAAGCATGTCGTCATTTAGTCTTTCGGCGTTGGTTTCACTGACCATTGGCGCATGAGCCACTGTTGTACAAAATGCATTCAGTTTCTAGACGCAGAAAAGACACGTTTTGAAGAAAATGGGTTTCTTAAACATCAGGAAATACGGTAAATCAGTTTGTGAAAATCTGTTAAATATATAAGAATTTTTTTAATCTTTCTATGGTGATAATTATCGGATTTAAATTCTGTCTCACAGATGTTGTTATTTTCGGAAAGAACATTTTATGATGGTCCTGAATCACATATTTAAGAGTTCATACTCTGTATAAATATTGCCTTTCAGTCTATTTACTACAACCGAGATATAATGTTTAGCCAGGTGTAGCACAGTTTGAATTCGTTCATTTTCTAACCTGATTACTAAACAGTAATAAAACTATGTTCAAGTTGGACATTAGTAATGGAAATGTGCTACATCGCCATGCTATTTGCTGAAGTATACCCTTCTCTTGAAGTCGCGAGTTTGCTGATTTCAATGAATTTTCTAATATGAGCTTGTCAGTAGTACTCTGGAATCATACTTCGCGATGTTCACTGGGACGGAGCCAAATAAACAGTGGATACTTTTTTACATTTTCCAGCCTTTCTGATCCATTTATCTGGCAGTATTGGAATTGGCAAGCTATAACTGCTTCACTATTTGTTACTTCTTCTTTACTGCCTCAGAAGCTGACGAATTAAAGCTAACAGCTGTTTTAGAAGCAGCTAAGATTTCTCAAAAAAATTCCTTTATTTCATTCACTATTTGAGTGCATTGTAATTTCACTCTCCACAATGGCACCGAAGTTAAAAATAATTAAAACATGAGACTGCTGTTAAATAATCTGCATTTCATCCATTCTGTTGCAATAAAAAAAATGTATTAAGAATGCCTCATTTGAAGTATGCAAGAGCATGAAGTCTGCTGTAAAATGTTAACAGAATTGTTGCAATTTTCAAAGACATCAGAAAAAAATTAATATTTCATTTCTTTTTGTCATTTGCAAATAAATTCATTTTTTATGAGGAAAAACATTTTAACTTTGGTAGTTTCCCAAAATGTTCCTTAGTATCTTCTTTAAATTTATAGATGGTCAAAATAACTCCACAGTTATCTACTTTAGTACGTTTTAAGGCATTTTAACTCTTTTATGGTGCAATAACTTTTCACGCTAATCATTCCGTAACAATTTAGATTCATTATAAAGCAGATCAGATGACTTCAAATTAATCTTACTTATATGACGAAATATTAAGAAATTTCAGCCCGCATATTCTTTCATATAGATGAAAAATAAGGCAGGGCAAAATGTAAAACAAAGCAAAAAAAATAAATTAATGAATTGGCACAGTAGAAACTGATTTCGAAGTTTATCTGATGTAGCTTTCTCGTCTATAGGAGGAAACATATTTTACTGATTTAACCTTTAGAATGCCAAGGCCTTCGTTAATCTGTCTGCTTAAAATACCGAAAAGCGAACAAAGAGGTATGATGGTTTCCAGTGATGTCGTTTCTAGTTTCTAATAAAGGAGCTTCCATTATCCACTGGAAGTATACTAAATTATCTTTAACTTACAGATTAAGGATCCACAATGTATAAAGAATACTTTCAGTGTTTACAATAAATAGGAACTTATAAATGCATTTGGAGAAACTGCATTTTAGGCTATAGTATACTTTGGGGGGGGGTAGGAACAAAGAACGCGATCTCGGTCGTTCGGGCGGCCGTTGCTCATTTGACAAAAGGTCGTCTCGGGCGTTTTCATTGTGAAAGAGTTAAAATTAGGCAAACATCAACCTGAAACTGGTGGGGATGTTAAATAAAACTATTAATTTGGACGGCAATTATACATAGTTTTCTTTATTCAGAAGCAAAACTTTTGATACATAAGAAGAACAAAATTTAAACATGGGATATAAAATCATTTAATATAGGCTATAATGTATTAATGATGACAATAGCTTATCATGCGGCATAGCCGGAACCATCAGAATCATGTCTCAAAAGCAGAGAAAGTTTCTCGACTTAGTCGAAAATAAGGACTTTTAGTCATAAACAATTGCAAGCTTACTTCCAACCATACGCTTCTTAATCTAGCAGGAATGAAGCATCTGTATCTAAATATTCCATGAAAAAGTGTCGTATCCTGAAACTAAGTTTAAACATTCAGGTATAACAGAACTGATACATAAGCGCGAATTTACTTTGGCAATTTCTCAGAATTCCAGATCCTGAGCATATTACCTTCATCTACAAAGATGGCTGAAAAATTGGAACAGGCACGGCCACCATGCTCTGCGTCGTAAGGGACAACACGAACACTTGATCTATCAAACTGCAAAATACCACCTCCATCTATCAACTGGAGTTCTACGATTTCCACTTGACGCAAATAATATACAAAGAAAACGTATGCCCAATAGCAAACCATGTGGGACTAAGCAAATGAAGGGAGACTCTCATAAAGTTATTTTCCTTAATGTAACTCCGGAGTTTATATACCACAAAATTATACCACAATTTATATGCCATATAATTATACCACAGTTTATATAATGAGAACTCAGGAAACCTATAATTTATCCTAATTAGCATGAAGAATTATAACTCATAATTTTAAAACTACTGGCATATAAGTTTCCCTTCCCACCTCGCTATTCAGTAGATCTCCACCAAATAATACCGTATAAAAATTACGAAATACTGTAAACTTCATAAAATTTTAACAGAAGAGAAAGCTACATCATATAAACTTCAAAATCAGTTTCTACTGTGCCAATTTATTAATTTATTTAAAATAAGCGATCTGGTTTATTGTTCTTCTGCTGTCTGGAAGCACCCGATGGATGTCTATGGCGATTCTTCAGTCGGCGACAAAAATAAATAAATAAAATAAAAAATTAATTTAAAAAAATTTAAAGTTGCTTATTTGGTTAATTTTAAATTGTACGTAAGGGCATTTCTTATCCAACTGTAATTTTTGCAATCATCCAGCATTTTGAGAAGTTTGTTGCTATTTCTTACTTTGCCACCTTAAGCCATTTTACGTTTTTGGGTCTTAATTTCAGTTTCATTGTGGATGTTTATCTTTCTTGGAAAATGGTAAAGTGTTTTCTTTCAGATTTAATTTATTGACTTTAACTCAATGTGTTTTGATTATCTTAGTTAATACCAAATTCTTAGCTAAATTTAACTGCGTTATACACGTTGCTTTGCTATTCTTACAAAAATGTTTCGTTCTTGAAGAAAGGGATTTGTATCTAATCGCTCTCAGAATCGATAATTATATTCAAATGCATGGTAATTTAAGACTAAAACTAAACTAAACTCAGTGGCGTAACAGCCCTAATGGGCCAAGGCCTGCAGTGCCCAAAATCTGCTTTCTTGACCGTTTGCCCCGGGGTGCGTAAGCATATTCCCTGAACAAGTGATCAGCTTGTCACAGGACTCCCAGTGTTTAGTCCCGAACTTGGTACTCACTTTATCGACCCAAGTGATGGAAATCAAGCGATGAAAGGCTGAGTCGACCTTGCTTAGCCCGGAAATAGAACCCCGGACCTGTGGGGCTGCTGCGCGATGCGCTAGCCACTGCGCCACCGGCCCTAATTTAAGACTGCTTTTGCTTAATATAAAACTTTACTTTTGTTCCTTTTTCTTCCAACTATATTTTGCAAACTTTGTTGCTGGTGATACACGAAAAACCTGCGAAAAGTTTTGAGAGTTTGCCTTCGAACTTAGTGACATTTTATTTAAGTCTACGCAAATCTAATCCCTCTGCAAGTCATTTTACATATCTCTGTAAAGAAAATTGAGATTAATTAGGCAGTTAACTCTTATGTTCTGTGCCAAGCTGAAAACCTCATTCTAGCTACCCAATGTAGTCTCATTTTTTTTACATCTGTGTCATTTCCGATTAGAAGATCAAGAGATACTGGTGTTGCAGTTCTGTCGTGAGTTATATTTTTTAAATATTCGGAAAATTCGGTCTCTTTTCGGGTAATGATTTTATTCGAGCTAATAAATAGCAAATAAAAAGTGCTTTTTTAGTTAGTAGAGTCATTAGGTATTTTTTTGGAAGCAGGAAATTTGAAAAATGGGCAACGCCCTCACCGGGAATCGAACCACTGACCTCCGGAATACGCGCTCAGAGTGCTGACCACTACACTACAAAGGTAAGCTAATAAGGCGGTATAAATAACTTATATACTCCCCCATTTAAAGGACGACTGGGATTTTTTACCGGACCCAATCGCCAAATCCTGGGGTGGAGAATCATCCTCCAACCCCCTTTTAGTTCGGGCACCACTGTAGAGTCATTATATTGTTTTGGAAGCAGGAGACTTGGAAAATGAGTAACGCCCTCGCCGAGAATCGAATCACTGACTTCTGGAATAAGCGCCTAGCGTGCTGACCACTACACTATGAAGGCATGCTACGAAGGCGCGAGAAATACCTTATAAGTTCTAGTGAATCATTTCGGCATTCTTAAATCTGAAATTAACCGTTTGTTTTCAGGTATTTATTCTAAATGCCTGAAGTTGTCTTTAAGTATACACTAAAAAAATCTACCCTAGGACATACAAGTTCTAAAAATAAATTTCGAATATAGGAAAATAAACGCTTTAAGCAAGGTGCCGTAGCAAGGAATAGATCTAGTATATGTAATCTAACAGCTGTATGATTCTGAGGCTATGGCGACTGCTCGCAGCTATTATACACTCCACCTGCTTTGTCAGAATACTTTCCCTACTACTCTAAATGGCTTCCGATACATTCGTTCTACGTGAAGAAGAAAATGCAACATTCCTTCTCCCATACTCGAAGAGGATGAAGTAGAAGTGCAGAAAGAATGAATATAAGAAAGAAAGGCAGATGGCCTGGGCCGAAACGATCGTTTGTTCCACCTGAATCTCACTTCTGACTCTCTGTAAAGGAGTACAGGTTGCTATGGTAACAAGATATCTTTGCGCTTCAGGTGGCTGTTCAGCTCTAGTAAAATGGAGTTCCTCAAAACAAACACGTGTTGATTTCGAAGTTGTTGAAGGGTAAAATGCTCTCAAGCCTCTATTAGTCTGCTTAAATTGAAAATGCCCTTAGGAAAATACCTTCTTTTGAAATAAATTGTAATAAGATGGAAGATATTTTAGTTTCCGAGCTTTATGATAGCTGAATCAATAGCTGAATTTGAGAAGAATTTTTAAATTTTAAAATGCATTATTCAGGTACAGAGAAGCATGATTTTCTTTGATGCGAGTGATATGGTCTATTCAAAATTTTTGGACTGTTACTTTTAGTCATCAGACATCTCGCCTTGATAAATGCTGCCATTGATCGAAACATAATATCATTGATTTGTCTTTTATTTGACTTCCGCATTTCTGACCACAGAAAATTGCCATTTAGTAAAATATGAAAAATCTTTAATCCGAATTTACGACACAGTGAGTCTACAGTTCCTTATCAAAGTCAATAAATATGCTTCTAATTGTTTCCTGAAAGATAATAAAGGAAGAATTATAACCACCATAAAGCAAGAACGCATTTAAAGTTATACAGCATTAACTGAAATTTTGTATATTTTCTCTTTCAAATCTACTATTGGACTTAAAAGTATAACTGTACACTCACTGTAGATGTTTTAGGGCTTTGGTCTTATTTTTCAAACTGTATCTCTGAAAAGTTGTATTGTTATTGATTAAGGTTAAACACGCTAAGGTTATCTCATCTTGGGAGGGGTTCCTGTTGAGGAATGGCTTGCGGGAAAGTTAATTAGCTCATCCGAAACTTGATAACCTTAAAATTTCAAATGATCATCGCCATAAAAATAGGTTATCTTGCGTGAGTATTTTGTTCTGCCAGATTTTAACTCTCCCATCTCTGAAAAAATATTAAACCTTCGCAATTATTCTAAACTTAAATTTGTTAAGAAGGAACTTGGTTTCATATGACAATGAGAATTAAAAATTCGCTGTTATTATGCACGCTATTAAAAAGTATAAATTTAAATGCTTCTGACATTCTAAAATGTTAGCAAATAGATAAATATGTCTTGGCTGTTATTTTCAGAAATGGAGCTAAAGGCCTTATTTTGAAAGGCTGTCAGTTAGATCTTCTCTGCTTGAATAGATCCACCAAACCTGTATCGTGGTTAGTGATTCTGACTGTAGTATTCAGATCAGGTCAGGCTGAAGTACAGTAGACACCCAATATTTAAATACAGAATAATGTGGGTATAGTCCAACTGCACGAAGTATTTAGACCACAACACACATCAGGGACCCACAAAGAACCCGCCGTGAATATTGAAACCTGCTATGCAGTTGATGGCTTTCGCATTTCAAACAAAATTTAGAGGAGTTGATGCTTTTCGCACTAGCAAAGTTTTAGAATAAAATTTATGCCTTTCTCACTTACAAGGATTTAGAACGGTACCTTCATACTTACAAAAATTTAGAACACTTGTCTCTTTTGCATTTAGAATAATTTAGAAAACTATATAGCACCGATTATAAAAATGAAAACGTTTGTATCTATAGTTTTCTTCATTTTGATCAAAGAATTTTCAGTTAGGAATATTTTACATGGGCTCGGATTAAAATATTTTCTTAAAGAAAAATTCTTCAGGTGTCATCTGACGTGGCCTTTAATTCTCAGCTTTAGACAAGGCATTAAGAGCATAAGGGTCAGTTCATATGATGCTTTAGCCGTCATTATTGTCTTCAGGCGAAAAAAATCTTTAGCCCCTTTCATTCTTGCAGAAAAGTGTTGGAAATATAGTAAATCAAAGAGGTAAAGCTGCGTGTGCGTGAATAAGCAGCTGACCAAGTGAAATCGCAGACCAAATGCCAGTACATGTTCTGGACCACTGTCACTGGCCGGTTATTATATCAGGTTAGCTGCACGGTTAAAAAATTTAGACACTATAGCAGTTTCTGTGAAATAGCAAGGTCTGATTGCCTAGCAATGCAGTTCTGCTTATACTACTTTCTGCTACTAAATATTATCAAAGATTTTCTTATACTTTGCAAAGCCCTCGGAGGAAGATCCATAAACGAAAAATAACTGTCGATTTAAACATTGCCGTAAATAACGCAGGAACAAAAGCTCTTCCATCAACAAACTCATTTGTTCACAAATTGTTTTGCTTATTCTCTGCCTATGAGCAACTTTTCTTGCACCCATGTAGATTAGAAATCCTGTCCAATCTAATGTTCCTATCTCTTTTTTTTCTTCTCATCCGTATCCTCGAGTATAATTTCCAAAAGTTAGACGAGAAAGAAATAGATTTCGCAGAAACTGTTTGAGCAGCGAAAAGAAAAGTCCATAGTTAAGTCAGAGAGGAAATACGTATAATTGAAGTCGTGCATCATACAGACGAAATATTTTACTGCCACCTTGAATCGGAATAGAGGTGAAAAGGCCGTATAAGTG